TGTTCAAATGGAGCTGCACAACACAGGCTTGCCCACTACTCACGCAGAACTCTCCCCACCTCCAGCCAGTCCACAAAGCTGGAAAGGTTGGGGTACTCTGCCTTATGGTACTGCTGAAGGAAGAAAAAGTACTCTTATGCCTACGTTTAGTACCGCTAAAGAAATTATTCAGATGAAAGCTATTGGTTTAGGAGCCATAGTGGCAATGTTGTCTCCATGGGCACCAATAAGGCCACAGGCATTTCCCAATATCTAGCAGGGTCTAAAAGGCATTGAAAAAGAAGCTTTCCATCCAAAATTGTTTTCTGCATGTTCTATATGTATCACATAGCTCAAATTGGTCATATGTGCTTGAAAAGAGTCTCTGAGTCTCTAGTATTAATCCCATTGCCACGTTATTTCGTTCAACCATCAAATACTTTGCTAAAACTATACATACATTTTAAAAAGATGCACTTCAATTATTTCCATCTTTATCATGCATTCTAATCAAAGTGAAGGAGTACAGTGAACAAATAGAACTTTTCCATTGTTTTGCAGCCCTACCCTATGGACACCCTCCTCCATGAGAGCCAACAGGTCTTTACTTTTTTAACCTTCTTTTTAAAAGCTGGCTTTCCCCACACTTTGAGATAGGATGAAGATGAAATGTGAAAAATGAAGATGAAGTGTGAGAATGTTGCAGGCTGCATCAGGGAAGTTTGCTGTGATGCCAACACAACATCTTGGTTTTATTGTTCTCTTTTTTATTATTTGCATGTATCCTTTTATTCTTTGGTTGTGAGTTGTCCAGAGTTTGGTTTTAGGTTGAGTGGCTATACAAATGTTTTAAATAAATAAATGAAACCTCAAATAGCAACTTCATATGAGGGAGATGGGCAGCTTTTGAATATGATATGGTACATAATAAATAAATCAGACCTCATACATAACACTCCAATAAAGACTTATATATTTGATAAAAAAAAATGCAAAATCATGAAGGTGCATTTTTAGCCAAATTTCATTAATAAATAGGGAAAAAAGTATTAGAAAATACAGATACATCCAAATGCCATAAAAATACCTCAACCAACCTACCTACTAAGCATGTGTAGCCTAGCAAACCCTGAGCATCCCTATATGAGATCTGAGAATTAGGCTATGGTTAGATGGCAATTAACATGTTCTTTGCTTAGATCAGAGGCAGGAAACATACTTACACATATGTTTAGGTAAGCACAGAGGATGCTGAGAGAAGACATAAGATGCATTCCAGGAAAAAGGCGGTTTGGCATGAGTGACCTAACCGTTCACCTCAGCTTGACCTAGCAGATCCCCTTGCAACCAAAAAGTCTGATTGGCCTGATGCCTCTTTATGCTTAGAGCTTCTCTATGACAAGAATCAGTCTATGCAGGCCATGGCAACAGGAAAGAAGAAGAGCTGGGAGGTAGTGTTGTCTGAGGAAGAAAAGGTGCAGTGGTCAAGGAGGAAGACTGGATATGGCTATTCTGCCATATGGCTCTCTCTGTTAGACAAGGAGTAGGAAGGACTGTAAGCAATTGAACAAGGAATCTCTCTCTGCTAGGCAGAAAGAAGGAAGGACAGCCTCTGGTAAGCAAGAAGAGATTAGAGAAACTGAAAGTAAACAAGAAAAAAAATGAAACATATTTCTCTCAGAAAGAAAGAAAAGGAAAAAGAAAGTAAGAATGGGCCTGCTCACATTGGAATGTATTTCCTAGATTATATTATAAAGCAAAAATATTGGAATTATATTAATGAAAAATTTTCTGTTCTAAATGGCCAAAGTGAAGTAGCTGTTTCACAGTAGATTTTTTTAAATAAACTTTTATAACATATTTTACATCAATGCATGTAAACACTTTGTGTTGCAGTCATTGCTCTTTTCAGCAAAATCCACCTCAATCAACTTTTCAGTTAGGAAAATGGAAAACCAACTCAGTTGATAAACTATATCAGATCTTCTGCTTCTACTCAAACACTGATAGCATTCAAATAATTGTTCAATGTATTCTAGATGCTCTCGTAAACCCGCACTTTGAAGGAAGTGATTTGCAGAGATTCTGGCCCCTCCTGTCAAGCCATATCCTGATGCAAGAGTCTTCAGCTCTGTACCTAAGTCACTAACCTATGCTGTTCCACAGGATTCCATCTTTTCCTGTATGCTGTTCATGTTTACATGAAACTACAAAGTGTAGGTCATTCACATTTGGTCTGAAATATTATTAGTATTCTGATAATATATGGCTCCAAAATTTTCCATTTCATTCCAAAGAAGCAATCATTATACTTGACCATTGCTTATATTGATAATGAGCTAAATTGAAAAAACAAACAAAATGAAATTCACTAAATTTAAAAGAGATTTCTTGATAAGGTAATGATGATGATGAACCACTAATCTAACTCAAATAATAAGCATAAAATATATATTTTTTTATTCTCAGCTTTTACCAGTTTTCTTGATTGTGGCTGCAGCAAGAATCACATTTTTAAAATTATATCAATTGGACCAATTGATGCAATCTGACCATTTATTTTGTTATATCCCAGTTTGATTATAGGTAGTCCTCGACTTACAACCACAATTGTGCCCAAACTTTCTGTTAAGTGAGACATTTGTTAAGTGAGTTCTGCCCCATTTATGACCCTAGCCACAGTTAAGAGAATCACTGCAATTGTTAAGTTAGTAACAAGGTTAAATTAATCTGGCTTCCTCCATTGAATATGCTTGTCAAAGGGTGGCAAAAGACAATCACATGATCCCGGGTCACTGCAACCACCATAAATATGAGTCAGTTGTCAAGCTTCTGAATCACCTAACTATGGGGATGATTCAATGGTCATAAGTGTGAAAAACAATCATAAGTCACTTTTTTCAGTGATGGTATAAGTTTGAATAGTCACTAAATGAACTGTTGTAAGTCGAAGACTACTGTAATTGCAATACACTCCACTCTTTGAAAACTATTTGGAAATTGCAATTAAAACTATAATAGACTATTAACTGGTACAAAATTACAAAATAACATGATAGGAATAGTTGCAGGTTGACAGTGGGCAGCATATAAATAGTGGGCACAACTGGATAATCAAAACCCTGCCCCTTTTAACATGCAACATATGCACATAAACAAGGGAAAACTCTCATTATTTTGATGCTATTGATGACCTGCAGAATGCAGATGTTCCATAACTTGATAATATTGAAAAATCTGCATTGGTTCTCAAATAATTTTCAATTATAACTAAAGACATTAGTGCTAATTACCAACGTCCAAAAAAAGATCATGAGCTGACTAACAGATCTTCCTCTCAGATCTATGGGAGATGATAGCCTTGCTTTCAGAGGCCTACCTAGAGTAGAGAGCTTCTTTTGTCGCTTCACTGTCTTTGCCTTTAGAACACTCTCTTTACCAAGGCCTTTAACATTATTTTTGATTTAATTCTTATTTTTCTTTTGTACGTTTTATGCTGTTTTAACTTGTAAAGTTTCAATTACTTATTTTGAACAGAAAAGTAGCACTTAAAACAAGTATGTAAATAAAGCATAATTCATACCATCATAACACTTAGTGGTCTATAATCATCTTCTACCTTTTAAATTATTTTTACACAAAACCTTCCTTATCCCAGGTATTTTTGGTTCTCACTATAAATATCTTTAACGTTACCAATTATTCTTAAAAAAAACAAAAACACCCTACCACAACCTTCACAAAATACAATGCGTACTAAGAAATGATAAACTAGGATTACATTTCCTTGTCTTAAACATGTTTTTCAAATGTTGAAATATATTGCATTAAAAAAAATTGACCAATATAACAAAATTCTACAGAGGGTAATAACATACAACTACTTCAAAATGTTGCTATATTCCACTTTGAAGTAGCATTATAGGAAAAGCAGAAATCTGCTTAGTTGTAACATTTAATATACAAAAACACATTACCTAAATTAATAAAATCATTGAATCAATGGTTGTCAAATCTAGTTAAGGGGTATCTGAATTTTTAATATAGTAATAATTTCTGTGTTATTATCAATAGATAGATAGATAGATAGATAGATAGATAGATAGATAGATAGATACACACACACAGAGAGAGATATACAAAATATATAACTATATATAGATACAGATACATATTATACATACTGTAGTCACACTTTGGTAAACTACAGCATATCGACACACATAATGCTTGTAATCACCAGGTACCACATGGATATACCCATTTCTAATAAAGAATTCCTTAGAAACTTGTTTTGGTCAACCTTCCCCCCCTATTCTCTCTTAACAATTGGTAAAATCATAGTTTTATAAAGGGGGGGGGGGAAATGAGTCAGAATTTGAAATAGTTTTCCAGAACTGGGATTCTGTCACTCTTGGACAACGTTGCCCTTCCTTTCAGCGCTGCCATGTGGAATGACAGCGGTGGGACCTGAGGACTTGCATTTCCGGAGTACATCGGGCTGAGGAACCTTGCTTAAAAATAAACCATTTGCGAAGTGGAAAAAGAAAGTAGTTCAAGGAAAGGGGGCCGGTACGGAAAGGCAACTTTGGACTTCCACTTCTGTCCTCGTCCTCCTCCTCAAAGCGAGCAACTCGGCCGGCCTTTCTTTATTTGGCTTCGGCTCTACGTCCTCCCGAGTCACAATTCGAAAGAATAAAAGCGACGGGTGCTCAAGAGAAAGAAAGAAACCGGCTCGCCTTCGCGCTCTTGTCAGCAAAGCAAACGGACTTCCAGGCCCCGAAGCCCAACCGTCACATTCACACACACACACACACACACACACGGGACAGATCGAAAAGCCACCGGCGAGCGGGAGAGAAGAGACGAGAGGACACGGCGGGCTTTTCTTCCCAAAACGCCGCCCGTTCTCTCCCTACACAAACCCCGCGGCGCCCGCTTGCCACTCTTTCCCCCACCCTCCCGCCACCCACGGGGGTCCCGTTTTGGACCGGCCTCTGACCCGACTCTTCCCCCCTCACCGTTAAGCGCCGACGCCTGCAGCGTAGCTCCTGAGGTGCCGTCGATGACTTTGATGGCGCCGCGGGCGGTCACGGCCAGGATGGCGTTGAGCGCCGGGTGGTAACACAGGCTGCAAAGCCCGTCGGCGTCGCAACGCAGGCAGCCGTCCCGCAGCAGCAACCACTCGCAGGGGCCTGGACCCGGCCCCGGCCCCGGACCAGGTCCTGGACCCGGCCCCGGCCCGGTCGACACCGGCCCCGAGGAACAAGACGCTCCCCCGGCCTCCTCCGCCGCCATCGCGCAGGACAAGAGGCCCGGCGGAGCCGCTCAGTGACAGTCCCGAGAGGAGCCGCCGCCACCAGTCAGCATCCGGGTCCGGAGAAAGGGGGAGGGAAAAAAGGGAGAGGGGGAGAGAGAGAGAGAGAGAGAAAAGGAGAGGGAGCTGAGCGTCGGCGTCCGCAGGAAGTGACGTAACTGCGCCGGAAACAGAGTGCCGCTAAGAAACCGCTTCTCAAGTGTTCAGTGCACGCTCGAAGTGAAAGGGCGGAAGGAGAATTGACATGCGCCTTTCCGCCTCCTGAGGCGGTTCCTAGGAAGAGCTCGCTTTAAGTCACCTGACCAGCAGGTGTTGCCTATTCCTGCCTCAGTAGTCAGATATGTCTCCGCCCTCCAGCCTGCTTTTAATGGCCGTTGAAGTGGTGGGTGTATTTATTTCCTGAACTGACGAAATAGAACTACTGGAAAGACAGAAAAACAAAACCCAGGTTCCCTTTCGGATTTGTAGAGAAAAGCGATTTGCAATTTTTGGCAGTCTTCAAAATTTGGAGACTCCGTCCGAATGTATTATTAAAACAATGTCTCGATTACTGGAGGTGACGAGGAAGGTACTTTTAGAGACCGGTCGGTCGAAGAAGGCTGACTGCAGTCCGTTTCTTGATTCCCATTGGTTTTGGGCCTCTGAAAAGCTTAATATCAATTTGTTATAGATCCGGCCAAACGGGTGAAGAATGTATAGCCTTTATTTTCACAGCCACAGCCTGACTGCCTATTAGGATAGTAAGATAATACCACTGCATTTCCACGTATTGGAAGTTAGTAGTAAATCCCACTTTGGTACGTTTAAAAAGACACTTGGACTTCTGTTTAAGTTCTGGAACGTCTCCATTCGAGTTGCTCTTCTATTTCCCCTACTTTTACTATTTCCAAGGAAATCATGAGGTCTTGAGCTGTTTGAGCCCTTTGATAGCAATATTTTGGACTGACACAAGAAATTAATTGTATTCTGTCTGTAATAATCGCATACCACAAGATGTCATTTTGCTACTATCTAGTGGTAACCTGAATTTTTGCAACCAAGATACGTTAGCCTTAACAATTGACTGTGAAAGCTAGACCATTTGGAGGGTTGAAGAAAAACTGATGCCTTTGAATTGTGCTGAAGAAAATAGCTGAACATACTACCAATTACAAAAAGAACAAATCATTTAATATTGGAGGAAATAAAAATCACATTGTTCATTGGAAGCACTAATAATGAAGCTATGGTTTTTGGATACATAACGCAAAAGCAATAAGTCAATGGGGAAAATGTTGATGCTTTCTAAAATCGAATTCAATTGAAAGAGGCCAACAGAAGACAAGATCCAAGACCCCATTGCTAATGATATAAGCAGAAGCTTACATGAAATCAGAAGCAGTAACCAAGAGACAGTCATAGTGGAATGATGTCCATCAGGCCACAGAATGCAGAAATGACTGAATGCAGAACTTTCATTATCTGAAATGATACAATCAGAGTATTGTACAGTAGTTGTCATAGTGGTGAACAGCACTAATTACCACTTCCAAGCCTAGTCTGGCCAGAAAGTTCAAAAACTCTGAAATGGAGTGTCTATAGTTCATCAGACAGCCTGAAAGATACTATGGTCTGTGTTAGCAAAAGCCATTGAGACACTGAAAAGAATCAACAGCAGGGCTGTCAAATTGTCATGGCGGCGCCACATGACATATTGGGACTTTGTTCCCTTTCGCTAAACCAGGGGTGGGTGTGGCCAGCGCGTAACACATCCAGCCTGTGGGCAGGGAGTTTGACAGCCCTGATCAACAGACTTTCAACAGTCCTGTATTTCAGCTTTAAAAAGCCTAGCCTTTATGTATCAACATATTTTCAAGGTATGAGAATATTCAAATACATTTTTATTTGTGTATTGATACAAGCTCAGAAGCATTCAGTTTAATGCTGAGGAAAGAAGCTTATTTAAAAATAAAGAAACATTACTAGTTTCTTTCTTACGGGAACCATTATGTCTATTTAATGATAGGTTTACCATGCAAATGTCCCTCAATATTCAAGAGTTCTAGAGGGTTTCAGCTAAAATACAGAAAGCTTGAAAAACTGAAACAGGTATTAAAGTAGATAAAAACAATGGCCTACATCTATGCCATTGATATCCAAGACTTGAATTCAGTAAGCAGGGCAGATAAATTTATTTGCAGAACTTATAGGGCCTACTGTCTCACAAAGTGATCCAACTAATAACAGGACTAAAAGCAGACCAATCTTTCCCATCAGGTGCCAGATGAACCAAACTGCTAACTTCCTGACTCAACACTCTCAGCTTGGCCAGCACTTGGTCTTCACATCATTCTAGAAGGCTAAAAGGATGGGTCCCCACAAATCTCAGTTGGAAGGCTATTCCAAAAGGCTGGGATGGTTACAGAGAAGGTACATTTCTAAGGCCCCATCAGATGACAGCTTTAAGGGAAAGGACCTGGAGTGCACCTACCATACCTGACTTAGAAGAAGCAGAGATCCTTAGGTGCAGGTAGTCCCACAAATAACATGGCCCTGTGTAGGTGATAACAAGCCCCTCAAAATAGCACCCAGAAAGGAAATGGGAGCAATCCAGCTCAAACAGTGGTGTAAATCAAGCAAACTACAGGCACCAAGACCTATGCCTGTTATTGCATTTTGGACCAGCTGCAGTTTTTGGATGGTCTTCAAGGGCAGCCCCATTACAGCATTGTAATAATCCAAATGAAAAGTGACTACAGCACAAATGATAAAAAGTAAGCAAATTTGCAAAATAAGACAACAGAAAAGTGCCAACATATGCACTAGGAGTCAGGCAGCATTGTTCTTTTAAACACAGTACAAGTCCATTGTGTAATGCTACTTTCAAAATAGGTACTTTGGAGGGCGGGGGCAAAAGTAAGCTGCAGAAGGAAACTTTTTCTTTAAAATGAAATTGAAAGAAAAGTAGAATTAACCTCAAAATTTTAAAAAGAAACTTATGATTCCACTTAAAATAGTTATGAATGCCTACTGCAGAGAAAAGTATGTGTATAGCAGAATTAGTTTTCGCAGGTTACAACATTCAGTAGATGAAACATGACTGTAAATAGGCTGTGTGAAACTCACACATGGATATCCATGACTTTAGCTGATGGAAAGCTATAAAATGAAAACCTTGTAATTATTTTCACGTTTTCAGATGACAAAAGCTTGTATTTCAGTAATCCTAAAAATTTATTTACATTCTTATAAACACATCTTAAACATATGAAATATGGGTATTTATCTCTTGGATTAGATATTATACAGAAGATTTATATGTATTGTGCAAACAATTCCATTTGTATAAAATACATGTATTTACATATATGTTAGGCTAAAAGTAGGAGTTGATGCACTACTATAAATAAATAGTTTATCCAACTGGGAAACTGTTGACAAAGCTTCTTTTATACAGCATATTTAAATGATATTGAATTTTAGAAACATAATGGGTTCTGCTCAAGTTTACAGAAAACATTGTTACATCCTAATACATACTTTTAAATCCAAACCAGTTTCTAATCAAGAGAACTATTTTAATGACTTAGCATTTATACCAAACAACATTTTTCTATTTAAGTATGCTTCTGATGATTGGCTGATTATACTAGCCGATTTTGAGATCATGCTGGACAGAGTGGATAGAAGCTTCAGCCGAGCATATGTTCAGGGCATTGGGTATGGGAAGTCTGAGATTGCCCAGATTGCCATATAACTGGCTCTAGGCAGAGCTATCTGCTTTAAAGCTGAATTTGATTATTAAGATTTAAAAAGGGTAGATGAAACTAAAATATTATGTTTATATTTTAAGCAGAAATATTGTATCGTTTCATACCCAATATATTTTTATGCCATTTTAGTTTTTTTTTTCTTGTAAATCAAAGTCTGCCATAGAATTGGACATTCTAGAGACCATTTAATAATACATAGTTCTGAAAATGATAATTAATGATTATTGAGCCAAAGTGGCGCAGTGGTTAGAATGCAGTACTGTAGACTATTGCTGACTGCCAGCTAATTGCAATTTGGCAGTTCGAATCTCACCAGGCTCAAGGTTGACTCAGTCTTCCATCTTTCTGAGGTCGGTAAAATGAGGACCCAGATTATTGGGGGCAGTATGCTGACTCTGTAAACTGCTTAGAGAGGGCTGTAAAGCACTGTGAAGCAGTATATAAGTCTAAGTGCTACTTGGCACTTATTACACAGAAAAATGCAGGCTGTATTTAAGCAGAAAGTAGCACTTTCAGAGCTTTTATAAGTAGAGGCATCCCTTCATATGAAAAGTAGATATAACTTGTTATTCTTCAATTTTTATAATTCTGTAGAGGGGGAACTAATAGAAGGCACATTTTAAAGCCTTTTTGTTTTATTCCTGGCTTTGATTTCCAAGAATATATTCATTAAAAAATTGATCCAATGACATGAGGAGGGTGTAGAAGGAAAGACTGATGAAAGCAGCATTACAGCACAAGCCTCATCCCATTTCATGACACTCCTTACATCATGTATTGCACACATGCCCCAAAGTATTGGGGCTTGCAGTGTGATATTCTTTTATCATTCTGAGAAAAGTAGCCAGATCCTGTGGATGCACTGGTTAATAAATTCTAACATTGGGAATGGATTTAAGTTATTTTCCTAAATGCTGGTAATTTGAAATTAAATTCCATCAAAATAAGAGAATGTTTAGGTCTAAACTTGATCTGCTTAATGATAAAAATCTGCTGCTCGATTTACAGAATTGGCAGAAATTGAGCATTTAATTTGTCAGTAAAATCAACAGGTAGCCACAGTAGTTCGTCACTACTTATTCTTCTATTAAATAATGCATAATTGTTTAACTGATTCAAATACAATCAAATTTAATCCATAAGAAAATGTTTATAATTGCTAAAAACAATATGGTAATATATTAACAATTTTGCAAAGTATATAGTTCCTTTTTTCCAAGTCTCCTGGCTGTATGTTATTTAAGTGCAGTGAGATGTCAATGCACATCCAAAAATTCAAATTCAAAAAATGCAAAAGTAATTGTTTCTCTATTTGGATGAGCAACTCAATGCAATTTATGCCTTTGACAAAAATATTTGTATGTCTATATCTGCTTATCTGAATAAGC